GCCTATTTTTCTCAAAACTACTTCTCATATAAAAATTTTTAGTCAGTTAATAATAAATTTCAAAGATAAAGCATATATTAAAAGTATGGTTCTAATATAAACAAAACATTAAAATTATTGAAATAGTTTCCGCAGGTGTGGGTCTACAAGTGTATACACAGGTAATTAAACATATACAATAAAGGCTAATTTTCTCACATTAACAGAAGTGACAAATGACAACCTAAACACAAATAAAACAGTATTCAGCATCACAAATAAACTAAAATGTACCACATTTAATTGAACAGAAAGTTAGCTAATATTTAAGTGTTTGAATTTCAAATTCTACTAAATTTCAAAATCTACCCACACACCACAAACAAAAAAATCATTCAATTAAAAAAAATCTCCAGTTGCTAATGTTCAATTTTTATACTGTTGATGTGCCAAAGCAATCAGCATACCCAATTTTAGGACTAGGTAAATTATTTATTTACCAATCAAGTTTAAACTACTTTTGTGACAATCTTTATGTATATTACGTCTTTAAACATTACATCTTTAATTTTGGGACAGAATTAAAAACAAATGCTACCAAAATTCCAGCTAATCTGTGATATATTACTCCCCAAATAAAAACATCGGCCATAACAAAATCCTCATGCAGGAACCAAAAGAAAAATAAAAATTCTTTATTAAGCAAGTTTAAATTAGCTAAGCCTTTAATAAAGGCAAAATCATATTCTAAATAGGTAGTATATTTATCACATATAAATACAGATTTTCATTTACATTAACATATTGTGATAAGGGATTTAGCATACATTTTAATCTAAAGAGTTTGTATAAGCTTTGAACTTAGAACATTATGAAAAGCTAAAATTATACCCTACTTAAATTTTAATGTTTTAAGAATTAAAAATAGTCTATCCTCACTAAAAATAAATTCAGACGCCATGCAATTCTGCTGAATTTGGCAGCAATTTAATATACAATTGGGAGGAAAAAGTAAGCCATATACACATTATAAAAAGATCTACTATGCAAATATTGAACAAATAAGTTAATTTTAAAGCAAACATTTTATTAATCTTGAAAATAACAAAAAGATCCTGTCAATCTTTCACTATTGATAAGATTAGCAACAAAACAGAAAAGCTGACCAAATAAATGGTTGTATTTCAGATTTTTATACTAAATTAATTACAAAAACCATCTTCTAATAGTATGTGAACAATTCAAAGTTCTCAGTTTACCTTCTATAATTGCTGCTATAACCTTTACCACGAGGTGAAGGGCCATGTACGAATCTACACGTGTTTCCATAGAGGCAGTTGCCAGTCTTCAGCCAGTTACGGCACTGTGTCTAAGAGACAGATATTACTATGTAAATTTCATATTTATTTCTGGAAAAGAAATGCTAGTGGGACAAAATTAAAGACAAATGCTACCAAAATTCCAGCTAATCTGTGATATATTACTCCCCAAATAAAAACATCAGAAAAAAATATGAAAAACCTATAAACCCTACCACCATTTTCACTCCTTTTTATAAAACACATTTTTAAAAATTTACTGAACCAACATTCCTACAATAAAACAACCTGTTCACCTTTATAATACAAGCCAGTATTTCAATAATAGGATTCTAAGAGAACCCCTGTGATTGTACTAGTGACAACTCACCTCTGCTGTACTGCCAGTGCTGGGTCCAAGCCTCTCAAATACACTGGGTCTTCGGGATGTGCTATCAGATATGGTCTTGGTATTTTCCACTGTGACCTTCCTTCTAATTTTTGACATTTTGTACTACTTTAACCAAAAAAAGAAAAGAGAGGCAAAACTGTAAAATTCTTCACTTTTAAATAACTGAGGCCAAAACTTACAAGCAGACAAAACTGTAGGTAACATTGAAAAATTACAGGAGATTTCCCTTGGGAGAAAAAATACATAGGAGAAGTCACAGGTAAACAGAGAGAAGGTGTCTTCTAAACCATGTCTTACTAAAGAATTGATAACAACTTTGAAATCTGTTGGCTAGAATTGTACTTCTTTTGTGGAATGAACAAATATGATTCTACTCACATAGTAAAGTTTTCATAGTACAATCAACTTCAGAAAATATAGTATGAAACGTTTAGTTCATAAGTTAAAAAAACTGCTTCAAAATTCAGTAACTATCCTTTAAGGAAAAGTTGTTAACCATCAGCTGGTTAACTGAAAAAGAGTTATGCCAAAGAAAAGGGAAAATAAAACCAGGTGAAAATTTTATTGATAGTAGAAATCATGTACAGTTTAAGTAACAATAGTCATTATGTTCCAAAAATCAGCTTG